CGGCGACCTGCATAGAGGGTCGCGCCGAACTCTCTCTCTCTCTCTCTCTCTCTCTCTCTCTCTCTCTCTCTCTCTCTCTCTCGACTTTCCTTCTGTGTATTTCATTTTTTTTTCGTTTGTGTATTTCATTTTTTTTCCCTTCTTTCTTTTTTTGTTTATCTGTAGTAGTGTCGTCCTTACATAACCGGGGTCCGGCCTTCGCGCTATGATCGGGCCTTCCCTTGGTCAACCCCCCTAAGGCTGCGGCGCGTATACAGGAAGGCCCGCGGCCGATAGCTAAGCGAGGTACTGGTGGTTTAAGACTTTCCTCCGAGTCGACGCAAGCCAGCCACCTCAATCGCTAGAACATATCTTGTATGTCTACCCATATATAGGAATTAATAAGCTCATATAAACTGTCCGTACACGTCAAATACCAGACCCCGGTTAACACTCCCTCTTGTCTCAACCCGCAACACGCACACAATTATCCGACCCCACACAATAAGCGATCCCACTCACTAACCCACCCCTACCCGCGAGTCCCTCCTCCCTATCTCAGAATCGTCATGCCAATCTAAACTATCCAAACCGCATGCGCTCTCCCCCACAGTCAAAGAAACCCTCTCCCCGCGTCGTCAACGCTCCTGTACCACATCCTTCCTAACATACCAACCGCCACTGATAGCCCCTTTACTACACAATCCTTTCATTTTTAGTCTAGGGCGGCATGCGAACCTCATACCTTAAGTCAAATCTTACATCACCCACCATTAATCCAGAGAAGGTCACTCTGAGGAGCGTTGTCGAGCGCATCCACTTTCACCTTTTTCGCAAAGGCGAGAGCCCTCCCGGCCATGTCACGCAGAAGATAAACAGAACAAACCTAAACAAAAGACAACTCGGGAACGACGCAAAACAATCCCGCGAGCCACCGAGACGGTCGCGGTTGCGTCGTCCCTTCGCCACTCTGGCCGGGTGCGCCAGCTGTACATCCCGCAGTCCCCTACGACAGGATAGGTTACCGCGGGGCATAAGCTTTCCTTCCCTAAGGGGTTGTCACCACCCTTAGGGGCGTATCCCTACCGAGCTACTGACCCACGTGCGAAAGCTTTTAGATGCAATTACAGAGGTAGGTCAGTCGAGGGCGTTTGCTCGTTCGCTGTAGTATAGATACGCTGGGTCAATGCCGAGTGTACCCGAACATCGTTCGTTCCTAGGGCGCTGATCTCCTAGGTACGGAGCAAACGTCGGTCGACTAGGACGGTCTCCACCAAGCGTGAAACCCAACATTAATCTTGGTCCCCTTAACATACAATCAAAAGAAAGTTGTAACGACCATACATAGTTACATCGAAAGGAATCGACCGTAGTCGACAATAACATATCCAATCTGAAATGATAACTGAGAGAATCCAAATCTTCATTTGATACATCCAATGTCGCAAGATAAAAAAACAATCCGATCGCCTCAGGTCGAACTCCACAAAACAATCATACAACTGTCAACGAGGGGTCGGTTTTTCAGCAATAACATAGATGCCGCCGACAAGGTAATAGGCTGCCTTAGTTTTATTTAACTTGATGAGACGCGTTGTCAAAGTCATTCATTCCATCTACCGCCGACTCAAAATTCGACATGCTCACATATGTCTCCATACTTCTCAATCTTATTGGATGACAGGCTACTTGATCAGGGACATTGCTTGAAGTGTTGCATGTTTTTCCCTCTAGGAAGTGGTATGGGGTACTCCTCCTCCTCGTCCGAGCACAAGACTCAGATCTCAGAAGTTGGGCCGTCTCCACCGAATCGACAAAGTACCCTCCCGTATAACGGTCCACTCTGGGCCGATAACAGGGTCGGCTCCTGAAGCAACGAACCCCTACTCTAGATGCTTCCTAGAGATAGAAGATGTGTTCACTGCAAGTAACTTTCAGTTATCCTCATATCCTAAGTCCTGGGTAACTGGGACAAAAAGAAATCATGAAAGGTAAAAAACTGGGTAGCACCGCGTACGTGTACATATAATATATATATATATTTTAAATATAAAAAAGTATACATAGAATTATAAATAATATATATATGTTATTGATTTATTATATTATTTACTAGTACTACCCCCTCACCGCCTTCAGAATCCTCCTCCTCCTCCTCCCCATCGCCCTCTTCCTCCTCCTCCTCCTCCTCCCCATTGCCCTCTTCCTCCTCCAGTCTTCGTCTTCCTCCCCATCGCCATTTACCTCCTCCTCCTCCCCATCGGTGTCTTCCTGCTGTGTGTATCAATCGACACCCTTTGTGGAGTCTGGGTTAGCGTGCAGTTTGGCACCGTAGCTCGACTTTCGGTTCATCCCGCGTAGCCAGTTCTGCTTACGAAAAATGACCCGCTTCGAGATTTCATTAATCCTACAGGTTCGCTGGAAAAAAAAAAGCTAACGTGGCAGGGAGATGGGGAGGAGGAGGACGAGGAAGAGGGCGATGGGGAGGGAGACGAAGATCAGGAGGAGGAGGAGGCTGTCTATATCAATCGACACCCTTTGTGGTGTCCGGGTTAGCGCGTAGTTTGACACCGTGGCTCGACTTTCGGTTCATCCCACATCGACAAATTTGCTTACGAAAAATGACCCACTTCGAGCTTTCATTGATCCTAGAGGTTCGCTGAGGAAAAAAAAAGCAAAAACAAAAAAAAAGAAAAGCTGACGTAGCAGGGCGATGGGGAGGAGGAGGAGGAGGAAGAGGGCGATGGAGGGGAGGAGGACGGGGAAGAGGGCGATGGAGGGGAGGAGGACGGGGAGGAGGGTGATGGAGGGGAGGAGGAGGAGGAAGAGGGCAATGGGGAGAAGGAAGACGACGATGGGGGGGAGGCGGAGGAGGAAGAGGGCGATGGGGAGGAGGGCGACGAGGAAGAGGGCGATGGGGAGGAAGACGAAGATAAGGAGGAGGAGGGAGAGGGCAATGGGGAGGAGGAGGAGGAGGAGGAGGAGGAGGAGGAAGTGGGCGATGGGGAGGAGGAGGACGAGGACGAGGAAGAGGGTGATGGGGAGGAGGAGGAGGAAGAGGGCAACGGGGAGGAGAGAGTCCACTTACCAGCGATGGCTGCAACAGCAGGCCGCCACGACGATGGCGACAACGGCACTCCACCCCGGGCGATCTCCACCCCGCCCACTGCATCCCTGCACACCGTGCTTGGCCCCGACGGGCTATCCCAGCCCACCCCAGGCCTATGGGCCCAAAATTGCTCCCCCAAGCCACCCGGTTTTATCACGTACGCTGGCCCCGAAAACGGGTACACACGTACACGTACGCGGCACTTACGCGCGTACGTGTGCGCGTATGCTGAGCACTCGTACGTGTACACGGTACTAGCCAAGTAAAAAACGAGAATCATTTGAACAGGTATAGGTAGGCAAGGTCGTTCGGGATAGAAAGGGTCATTCCTTGCGGGAAGATTAAGTCCATTTGACCTCATCTACTTTATTTCAATCGTATTCATTCTACGACACACGCCGAACAATCTTTTTCAAACCAACGAGTTTTTTTTTTTGAACAATCAGGCAGGTAAAAGGTAGAAAAAAGACAATTCATTCCTTCATCTCAATTAGGCATAATCAATCTCCTTTGTAAGCATCCCTCAACAAGACCAAAGAAAACCAATACAACCCCATACCCAAGTCAGACCTCACCTTTCACATGCATAACTCACACACTCTTTCCTCTACCTTTTCTTTTGAACGTTAAAAACAAACAGGGTCAAGCAAAGTGTGGGTTCACACAGGTGTGAAGGGAAATATGAATCAATCAACTGACTGAACTTGAGTGAAGTTGTAGAATACGGTTCACTAAAAAAAAACGTATAGAACCATGCCCCGGATGAAAAGGTCGTCACTACAAAATGTCAGCAAACGATCCACACCACCCCTCACAATGATCGCCTGCCGCGATACCACGTGAATGCACAATCACCCCCATATAGTCCGACGACGTCCCAACGTCACCGTCACATGCCACCAGCGTCACCACGCCACCATCACCAATGTCAATGCGTTGCCGCCGCGTTACACGGACAACACAACGTCCACACCACCTCAAATCACATCACCAATTCGGTGGCACCCCCCCCCCCCCTTCATCAATGCCTCGCTGCCTCGTCGAGCAGGCACTATAACACCAGCACCACCAAAGAAAGAACCACCGCCGCTGTAAACATGGACTGCATTTCCGCGTCGTCACCCAAGATTTCTGTTGCCCGCCGCATCAAACAGACAACACCTTCGCACCGTCGTAAAAATCAATGCCAATCGACGTGTAAACGGATGGCGCTTCCGCACAGTCATAAAAAAAACATTGTCGCCCGTCGTCAAATGGCTAGCAACTCCCCTGCGCCGCTACCAGAAATGTCTGCCGCCACCGGAAAAGTCGTGCAGCATCACCCCAACATCTCATGAAAAATGGTTGTCGACGCCTCGTTTGAACGGACAGCACCTCCCCTGCGTTCTATCTACGACTGCGGCTATGGCAGCAGCAACACCTCCCTTACACTTTACCAAGTAAAGTGGTGGCTATGGCAGCCCCCACTCCCACGCTCTTTGCAGACCTCCAGCGCTCTTCCCCTTCGCTGAGATGGTGGCTATGGCTGTACTTCATAGCTGCGGCCACCTCCAGCAGTCTCTCCCCTTCCTCTTGCAGATCTCCACCCAACTCCCTCTCTCTCTCTCCAGCCGCAGCCCTTTCTCCAGCAGCCAGCAATCACATAAGTGAGCTGCTAGCTGCATCAGCCACACATGAATGTTGGCTGGCTGGCTGCTGGTTGCTTTTATAGCCATCTGAGGGCTGAGGGCAGCTGCCTTGCCCTCAGCCAAAAATCCGGAGTTAGGCTCAACCCTTGATCAAAAACAAGATCAAGGGCTGAAATCCTTGATGTTGCCCTAGGAACATCAGGTTCCCCGCCCCAACGATGCACCTGACTATCACCCCTGGCCAGACGCAGCTCAGAATGGTTGTGCAGAGCCATTCTCTGCAGACTGTTGAACCCAATAGCCTGCCGTCACTTCAAGGTCCAGATGCTTCTCTGCCCTGCATCTGGACCGAGGTTGCGAACAGATTTGCGGCCTTTTCTCTTTCTTTCTTCTCCCTTTTTCTTTTTACCTCTTTTTTTTTTTTTTTTTTTTTTTTTTTTTTTTTTCCGTTTAGGCTGCACTCAGCTGCAGCTCATCACTTGGGACCCCTACCCACTTTTTTCCCCTGCTGCTCACACTGCAAGGTGAGCAAAAAAAGAGGGACAACTTGTGGCAGCCTCTTTATGATCGAACGGGGGGGGACACGAAAAGTACCTCGAGTTTAACGATTGTTAAATAAAAAGTCACTGAATAAAAAAATCTGAAAAACTTCACGTATGTAGGATAGGTGCCCACCTACCCGTAGAAAAAAGTTGGGCCAGCAAAAATCATGTTGGCCATCAAAAAATTACAGGCGCAAATTCAAAAATATGAACTTTTTAAACTTTTGATCTTGATTTTTCCCCTTTTTCTTCTTGCATTTCTCTGCCAACGAGGCAGGGCCTTGACCGTAGGCCATTGGCACCCCATAAATTGTTAAAACACAAACTCAAGTTCGAATCCAGATGCAGTTAGGTAAACAGGGGGAATACTTCCCTCCTAGCTGGTGCCTGTCACCTCTACCTCCAGGCCTTACCAACAAGGCAAGGCACTTCTTGGTGCAGTTGAGAAGCCACAAACCATAATAATACACATGCAATCAGGGGGCAACTTCATGAAAACGGACCCCACCCCTCTTCTCACCAAATATGCAAAATGAAGGTGAATTTTTGCTAGAAGCGGGATAAATACTCCGTCGTTTCCTTTCTTCTGTGCAACCCGTTCGCCTAAACGAACGGGCGCAAAGACCTTTGGCAGTTCGAGAGATGGGGGGGGGAAATCTAAGCAATAAAAAATAAAGATCTATGGCCCATTTATCGATTTATACGTGTCATCCTTGCGCAGGGGCCATGCTAATCTTCGCACGGTTGTTTTTCAGCCGCGTGATCTGATCGATCGCACAGCCGAAAACGGCCGCGCCAAAAGGCAGGGCTGCTCCAAACTGGGCTAGCTCCTTTTTCACACTGAAATAGGAGCAGCTCTTCCTTATGAAGAGGTTAGCCCAGCGCGGTATCGCTTATGGCCTCACGCAGGCTACGCCTGCGTCCTCCAACAGCCGCAACCGCTGGCCAGCCAAACTGTCGCCAACACGACGACCGCCTGGCGGCTGGGCACACGTGCCACGACCACGTACACAGCGCGACCACCTATTCGATCTTCTAAGACCCTGAATCGCGCGGTCGTGGCTGCACGTTATTATTATTATTATTTTTTCCCAGGTAAAATAAGTCTAGTCTTAGCATTCCCATGACCGTATGCCCCTGCGGCCTTGTCAGGACCCGTGGACGACAAGTCGTACTACCGAATACCGCTATTTCGATCAGATGTCAACGACGTTAAGTTCTAAAAATTTAAGTCTCTCGGTCATAGGGTTGGTCTGAATAAACTTTGGCAGCGTCAGTCTCATAAAGTCCTTCAATTCAACGAAAGCGCCGGATAGTGTCCGACATTGAAAATCCCCGGCAAATACCCTGACAGCCCCGACAATATTCTTGGACCCCATTGAACGACGTCCCCGTCGTTCACCATCAAAATAGAAGTTAGGGTATTTATAAAACGATCATAATAAATAACAATTCCACAATTCGCTTGGAACTAAGCTGGAGTCTTTTATCCCACTGGCAACCTCCCAAAAGATTTTTATCTTCTTAGAGTGACACGGAAAACCTTTCGACTTAGATCCAAACGAAATTCATTCAGTCGATACCTGTATTTCACTTGAGGTGAACTCAAGTGAGTCAGGAATAACCCCTGACAAATCTTATAAACGTATCGACTTCCTTGAGTTGTTCAGACATGAATGACCTAAAAAGCATATATCTTACTCAATATTACATCCTAACCAAGTAATAATCCATGTCGCAACCCCTTTTTTTCCATATACGTCCTTAAAGAGCGGACTTGATCAAAACAGGCCTCTCTGTCGCAAACAACTCTTTCAAAGGACAAAGGAGACGAACTCCTTACTTTTAGAAAAGAATACTGATCAAGACGGTTACCCCACCTCAGATGAACTCTTCTCTCTCTAAAGTTGAGAACAAAACACTAATCAAGACAGATTTCCCTGCTGCAGACGAAATGCTCTCAATTAATCTTTGAAAAGAAATCTGGTCAAGATAGGTTTCTCTGCCGCAGACGAACTCCTCCCTACCTAAAGTTGAGATCGGAACGCTGATCAAGGTAAGTTTCCCTGCCGCAGACGAATTGCCCTCAATTAATCTTTGAAAAGAAATCTGATCAAGACAGATTGCTCTGCCGTAAATATACCTTTCAAAGACGGAAGGAAAACTCTGATCAAGGCAGGTTTCCCTGCCGCAGACGGACTCCTCTTCATTCCATCTTTGAAGAGAAGGCCGATCAGGATGGGTTGACCCATCACAGACCTACTCCTCATATTTCATATAATGACCCAAATAAAGGAGAACGTCGCTTAAGACAGGTTGCCCTGTCACTAACAAGCCCCTTTATTGATTTAAGTTGCGACATGAAATTACTATAATGAAATTTACTATACTTCATACCATGTCAAATGTTATCGATCTTTCTGTGATATGCGTCGAGGAGCGGTGTAATCCTCCTCAAGGGATAGCATCTCGACATCAAGCCCCGCTTTAGATTCGAGCCTTACCACATTCCCTCCGATTTCGGTGCTTCAAATACTCAGCAATTTATCAGTATTAACAGGATAACTTAACCCTTACTAGTCCGATGTGAGTTACCAACTCACGTTTTTTCCCAGCAAGGCGGACCCGATAAAATCAATCGAGCTTGGGTGGTAAATCCAAACCCAACGTTCTTAGCGGTAACTACCCTGACCACCATCAAAACTGACGAGCACCTTCAACACCTTCATCCCTTTCAGTGATAGTGTAGTCTTCCTTCCTTAAACGACATAGGATCCGGATGACAATATCCCACTATGGACCAGGAGTATAACTCCGACGCAAGCCTCACCATCACTTACAGAGCTCACAACTTTATCGTAAAAACATTATGACATGATAACAAACAAAATCTCAACCTTATAATATTAAATATATAATTCAAATACATGTCTTATGAATAAAGAATACACATCCAAAATCACATTCATAAGGCAAACACGTCACCATCCCGCCCAAGAGTCAGGTTGATCTAAAGAAGAGACACACATTTCTGCAATTGTTCACGATGACAAATATAACAATAAAATGTAACAATTTACACCATAATTCAGTACGTAAATAAAAAGATCGCATTGAATATAACAACTTAAATCAAGATATTTATAGAACAATCTCACCCAAATCCGGTTTATGAAAGAACGAAAATATAAAAGTTATGATCCCTCACAAAATTACAAAGTTTTGTAAAAATCGAAAAACTAACGACTTATTTTTTTATCGACTTTCGATCCCTTACACCTACTTAAGTTTGTCCGACTCCACGACATCTTTTACACACAATGTGTTTCCAATATTCTCTCCCTCTCT